GAATGGATAGACAGTGACAGACAGAAATGGATTGATGAAGATAGATTAGATAGATAGATAGATAGATAGATAGATAGATAGATAGGTAGAGATAGACAGGTAGATAGATGATAAATGCAGACAGACAGATTGTATAATTTTCCTCCCTCCCTTCTATCCAAAAGCTCAGAGGAAGGAAGGGCTACAGCCCGCAGCACCCCTGCCCCCAAACTAGAAGAGTCATCCTCCTATTAACCCTCTGCCAGGTCTGGGTCAGGAACAAGCATGTGGGGCAGACCATATACTTCGAGATCTTGAAATCAGCCTCTGGGATTATACCTCCACTTAACAGGGGGACCCGAAACTGAGGGCCACAGATGTCAGTGGGGCTCCCACTACAGAGCTGGCACCAACCCCCAAAAGCAGAGCTCTTAAACTTTGGGTTTCAGGGATAAACTGCATGTCTTTCTCCTCAAATACGGCAGCTAAGCCAAGATCCAGATGGAAAGCCGGGTCATAAACCACGATGCTGCTCTTAAATGACGGTGCGTTATGGTCCTTGAGTTACGGCAAACCCAGCCAGAAAGCTACGGCGTCCTTGCTGGGTCTGTGCAAAGTCAGCAGCCCCTCTCCAGAACTTTTCTACCCTTCCCTCCCCCCCCCCCCCCTTGGAACTGCCAACAGCTCAGAATCAGATTCTGGAAGGGACCCTGGAGGTCTTCTAGTCCAACCCCCTGAGCTGCCAAACTCAGCCCATCCAAGGAGAGTCTTTCCAAAGATCCTTTTCCATTGCACCCAGGGGATCCGGCCATGCTTCTGGTGGAGAGGCAGGAGAAGGGTGGATCCCTGCCTGGAGAAAGGTTGCCACCTGCTTTCCTCTCGGGCTGCTCCTGTGCCTTTTCCAGCAGCAGCAGCAGCAACCTGGCATGGTAAAACGAAGCCTTTGCCCTTTAGTTTTAATCCGCTTTTCTGGCCAGACAAGCCTCGGCGGCTGTCAGCCCTTCATCCTGGGGCTGCTGCTGAGAGCAGAGGAGCAGGGCTGGGGCAGGTAAGTTGGCAACCCTGATCCCCATCAATATTTCTTCTGTCTCCCTCCAGCCCCTCCTGCTTCTTCCATGCTGGGCTTCCGATCCCCCGGCCTCCAATGCCTTTGCACCCCCGGCCCCCCAAGAGGAGAGCCTCCCCGCCTCTTACCTTCCACGCAGCGGCACCGTCCTCCACCTCCACTCTCCCTTTGCAAGCAGGGACTCCTCGCCACTTCCTGGTTCCCCTCTGCGCAGGCGCCCCTCCTCGAACCGCCCCCTTCCGTATTTAGCCGCCCAATGGGCTGCCTTCTTCTCCTCCGCTCGGGATTCCGAGTCGCAAAGGCTTCTGGGGGTTAGAGTTCTGGCGCTGCATTTGGAGGCTCTTGCTCAGCTCTGCGGATGAGAAGGGCAGGAAAGCTTTTTTTTGGTGGGGGGGGGAAAGGGGGTTTTCTTCTAATCTAGCTACCTGATAATAAAAGAATAGAGACCCTGCTTCCTTTTTTTTTTTCCTCCTGGAGTTTCGCAGTCGTGCAGGATTCTTTTTTTTTTTTGGAAGTGTGCATTGCTTAGGTTAAAATTTCTGTGCCTCTGAGCATGTACAGGTAGTCTTGGACTTCCAACCACAACGGAGCCCCGTTTGTTTTGTTGCTAAGCGAGACATTTGTTAAGTGAATTTTTGCTCCATTTTACAACCGTTCTTGCCACCGTTGTTAAGTGAATCGTTGCGGTTGTTAAATTAGTAACGTGGTCATTGAGTGGATCTGGCTTCCCTGTTGACTTTGCTCGTCAGAAGGTCGCAAAAGGGGATTAAGTGACCCCGGGACCCTGCAACTGTCATAAATGTGAGTCAGTGACCAAGCATCCGAATGTAAATCACGGGAGACACGGGATGTTGCAACGGCCCTAAGTGTGTAAAATGGTCATAACTCACTTTTTCAGCGCTGTTTGAATGGTCACTATATGAATTGTTGCAGCTACAGTACATGTGAAAGGTGCTTTAAGATTCTGCGGAATCCTAAGAGTTTGGAACCACTGTATGAATAGAATAAATAATATTCCCACCCATCAGAATCAATGATATTATTCTAATACCCAGTATCAGAATAAATATTCTCATTTATCGGAATAAATAAATAGAAGAAAGGAAGGTAGGACAGAGAGGATAAAGTGGATTTTTGTCTTCGGAGCAGAATTGTTCCTGGGTTGCAGCGTCCCCAAGATACGTGATCAAAATTCAGATACTTGACAACTGACTCATATTTATGACCGTTGCTGTCGCAGGGTCATGTGATCCCCTTTTGAAACCTGACAAGCAATGTCAATGAGGAAGCCAGATTTGCTTAACATCCGTGGTACTAACTTAACGGCTGTGGTGATTCACTGAACAACCGTGGCAAGAAAGGTCGTAAAACAGGACAAAGTTCACTTAACAAACGTTTCGCTTAGCCACAAACATTTGAGGCCCAATTGTGGTCGTACGTCGAGGACTACCTGTGCTGGAGAATCAATAACTACTGGATGACAATGCGCAATCCAACAGGCGCATGAAATCCAGAGAGAGAAAACGCCCGTCGAACGATGTTTTAGCTCCAGTCGCTTATCATGGTTATCCCTTGAGAAGCAGATCAGAGCTGGGTTTCAGCAGGTTCTGGCCAGTTCTGGAGAACCGGTAGCGGACATTCTGAGTAGTTCGGAGAACCGGTAGTAAAAATTCTGACTGTTGCCCCTCCCCCATCTATTCTCTGCCTCCCGAGTCCCAGCTGATCGGGAGGAAATGGGGATTTTGCAGTATCCTTCCCCTGGAGTGGGGTGGGAATGGAGATTTTACAGTATCTTCCTCCTGCCACGCCCACCAAGCCACGCCCACAGAACCGGTAGTAAAGCATTTTGAAACCCACCATTGAAGCAGATGGATTATTTTCAGAGGTGGTAGTCAGCCAGTTTGGACCGGTTTGGGCAAAACGGTAGTAGCGACCTGTGGGCGGCCTGCCCACCTGCCCGGGCACAATCCCATCCTATATTGCTGTGTTTTTGACCCCACACACATGTGTAGATGGCGCGCGTGAGCGAATTGCCGTGTTGTTTGACGTTGCTCGCGTGTGCGGATGTTGTGCGCTCACATTTCCGGTGCTGGGCGAACCGGTTGCTACAATATGTGAATCCCATTACTGGTTATTTTGTGTAATATTTTCCTTTCTGATTTTTTAAAATTTGTGTTCTTTCATAAAGGAAGGCTGAAAAAAAGAAAAGGGGAACAGTTCAGCCTGGACTTTAAAAATGGACATTTGTTTCCTAACCCTGCCTTTCTTTTCTCTTTGTTCCTCTTCCAAAGTCCTTCCTTGAAAAATTCAGACACACCTATTGTCTCTTTATGACCCCTGAGTCATTCATTCGTCTGAAATCAGGGCTTGCAACCTTTGGACCGCTTCGAAGGATGGCACCTCCGCTCCCAGAGTGGTGATGGTGGCAATCTCCAGATCTTGCCAAACAAAGTGAGCTGGTTTCAATATGACCTTTATTGTTCTTATCTAGCATTGTCTCTGGAGTTCGTCATGAGCTTATTATCTTAACTTTCCACACTCAGAACCTTGTTTCTTAAACCTTGGATTACTTTGGTACCTAGTCATTGTTGGGGGAGAGCCATGTTAGTCTGCCTACCATAAGAAGAAGAAGAAGAAGAAGAAGAAGAAGAAGAAGAAGAAGAAGAAGAAGAAGAAGAGGAGGAGGAGGAGGAGGAGGAGGAGGAGGAGGAGGAGGAGGAGGAGGAGGAGGAGGAGGAGGAGGAGGAGGAGGAGGAGGAGAGGAAGAGGAAGAGGAAGAGGAAGAGGAAGAGGAAGAGGAAGAGGAAGAAGAAGAAGAAGAAGAAGAAGAAAACCCCAGGAATCTGGAAACACTTTATCCCACTAGCTATTCTTATTCAAAGTCTGAAGTTTTGGGGGGGATCTAGTATCTTTTCTCAGAAAATTTTATTTTCAAATAGAAGATTATTTGAGGGGCTGCCACAGAGAAATGGAGGTCAACTTATTCTCCAAAGCACCCGAAGGCAGGACAAGAAGCAACGGATGCAAACGAATCAAGGAGAGAAGCAACCTGGAACTAAGGAGAAATTTCCTTTCAATGAGAACAATTAACCAGTGGAACTACTTGCCACAAGAAGTTGTGGGTGCTCCATCACTGGAGGTTTTTAAGAAGAGATTGGACAGCCATTGGTCTGAAATGGTATGGGGTTTCCTGCTTGAGCAGGGGGTTGGACTAGAAGACCTCCAAGGCAGGGGTGAAATCTACTTACCTTCCCAACCGATTCGGAAGTGCATGCACTGTGCGCACCCACACCCTCTGCGCATGTGCAAAGGGTAAAAAACAGGTTATCGGCGGATGGGCAGAGCCTCGCGCTGCCATCGCTACCGGTTCTCCAAACCATTGGCCGCCATTGCTAGCGGTTCGGCCAAACCGGTCCGAACTGGGAGCATTTCACCCCTGCTCCAAGGTTCCTTCCAACTCTGTTATTCAACCTGCCATAATAGCTGCGATGTATCAATGACTGTGGTTTATAAATCACCTGATCCTACTGAAATTGGTGAACCTACACCTCAGATTAAGCATCTCAGCAAATTGATCAACATTTTATATAATGTTGACCAAATGTTGACCAACATTTATTATATAAACTAAAAACCCCCATTGCTGAAGCAAATATCCTTATTAATTCTCTTTCTGGCATTGAATCTTGCCCTTTTTATGTATATAATGTATTACTATAAATGTAACTTTTTGGGTAAAGGTGCCAAGATACTGTGATCATTGGTAAATTTTAGAGCAATGGACTTCAGCTCCCAGAATTCCCCAGCCATCACCTACCCCAAATCCACCCCAATCCAGGAAAAGACAGGATCTCCAATTGAGTTATGTAGGTAATAATTCCACTATGCCACAACAACTGCAGAGACGACCATTTTTAATTCACAACAATAAATAAAATATTGCACCAGTAAGAGATTAACTTCTTATCTCTTCGTGGAGACTGGAAATCCCAATGAAAAATTGTCCATTGGTTTTATAATTAATTCAAGGATTCCGTCAATATATTCCAGTATCCAGAAATCCGAAGGTTGCATTATATCTTATTTTAGTAGATTGCATCAGCCCAAGGGGGAGGGGGCACCACAGAATAAATCTGCACAAGTGGAGGTCAACAAAATAATTCCCGTAACTCCTCTTGATCTCAGCAGTTTTAATCCAGAAGGATTTTGACATTAGCAGATCCAAGATCCTCTGTAATTCAGATCTGCCCCATCCTGGATTACGATTTCAGTCCAGAGGGACAATGAAATCTCACAACAGCGCAGTGGAAAATCATTTCTATGCTGTTGCCCAAAAAAATATGGACTCTGCATGAAGTCATCGTGAGATCTCAAGATCGCAAAAGTTCTGACACGTGAATTGTTCCAGATTGTGTGTGTCACATCAGCTCCGTGTAAATCTTGCCTGCTTCCTTAGTAACCCACCAAAAAGGCAAAGCAAAATCCACCCTCTCGTAGTTTCCAAAGTTTTCATGGGAGTCGCCCGGAGGTGACTTTTTTCTGTCTGCAGGCAAGGGACAATTTTGTTCGTTGTTCCTCCAGATGGTGACAGTTGCATCGGCTTCCTGTCTGTCTTAAGATCCCTTCATCTATGGTATGGCTGGCAGCTTTTCCCCACATCTGGAAGGGAGCTGATCTCAGCCCTGGTCTTGAAGATGCGGTCGCTGTGCTAATTCATTCTCCGCTTTCATCCTGATGGGGATGTACCAGTGGGAGTTGTAGTTTGCGGGCACCTGCTGGAACGGGGCGCCCGTCCCATTGTCCAAGTCACTTGGAGCAACTTTGGGTCCTACTTGGATGTAAATCTGAGCGCAGCTGGGCTTCCTGGTTGGGGGTTTTTGGTTGCACCAAGAATGGCAGAGACTGAAACAGCGTCCCTTTCTCTTAAGCAGGCTGATGTCCAACTGGCACATCTGCCACTTTCTCTGGATCTCAGACTGGACCTGGAGGAAGAAGAGAGACAAAAGATTCCCACCTGTTTTTGATAAACAGCTATATATATATATGTTTTCTGATGTTTTCGCCGGTGTTTGTATGTAGGTCTTCGTGCTAGAAGCACGAAGCCGAGAACATCAGCCTGAAGATGACGAATGAGACTTCATCGAAACGTTGCCAAGAAACCTCCAATTTTACGCGGGAGAAAACCCGAATAACCAAAGACCTACATATATATATATATATATTTATACATTTTTCTTTAACATACCTAAGTATTTAATAAACAGTGTATTGTCTGGGTCATTTTACATATATATAATAATAGTAATAATAATATTCTTCCAACTTCTAATTTCTACTTTTATTCTCTAACCATTGGTAAAACCAATCCCAAGTTAAAAAATATTCTGTGTCTTCTTTATCCTTTATCTTTAATGTTAACCTATCCATTTCTGCACAATCCAATATTTTTTTTACATTATATTTTCATCTGAAGGAGTTTCCTTATTTTCCAACATTGTGCAAATACATTTCTCGCTGCGGTCAAATCATGTAGTATTAAATATACATTCCCTTTATTATATTTTTCTGGCAAAATACCTAACAAAAGTATTTCTGGCTTTAAATCTATATGTTGCGTTATCATTTTCTCTAACCGTGTATGTATTTTCACCCAATTTTTTTTTTGGCCTTTGGGCAGGTCCACCACATATGATAATGCGAACCTGGTATCTGGTTATATTTCCAACATCTTTGCTTGTCTTCTGGGATTCCTTAAGCCCCCAACATTCTGAGACCCCTGAGCAGCCTCAGCCCCATGCCTGCATTGCAAAGAGGGTCAACTGCAGAATGGCTTACCTCTTTATTGACAAAGCAGTAAAGCGTGCTCACCAACAAACCCTGAAAATGAACAAACAAGGGAGAAAAAATGGAATTATTTTGCTTTGGCTGGTTTTAGGCAATGATAGCTCTGTTTGAGGAAAACAAACCAGGTTTTAAGCCTGGTCATTTTCTTTATCATCTTGGGTTTGATGAAGCTTGGCCCTGCTAGAGATATTATTCTTATTATAGATAATAAATTGGGTTGGTTTTTCTTTTTTAAATTTAGAGGTTGCCCGGTTCTGGAGAGCTTGCCCTTAAAAAAAAACACCTTTAGGTTTTTCTATGTGAGATGGGGAGCTGTATAAATCTAATTACAGGTGGTTCTCACTTACGACCATTTAGTGACCGTTTGAACTTACAACGGCACTGAAAAAAAGTGAATTAGGACCATTTTTCACACTTATGACCGTTGCAGCATCCCCCTGGTCATGTGATCAAAATTCAGAGCTTGGCGACCTGCTCATCTTTATGACGGTCGCAGTATCCCGACCTTCTCAACCTTCGGACAAGTAACGTCAAAGGGGAAAGCCAGATTCACTTAACGACCTCGTTTACTAACCGAACAATTGCAGTGATTCACTTAACAGCTGTGGCGAGAAAGGTGGTAAAACGGGAGGAAACTCATTTCACAAACGTCTCGCTTAGCGACAGACATTTGGGGGGCTTGATTGCGGTTGTAAGTCGAGGACCACTTGTCATCAGTTCAACAACTCCGTGGCTGCTTCCCAAATGCTGCCTCACCTGGAAGGAGTTGAAGAAGAGCTCAAAGAAGAATTTGATGTAGCGCAGGGTGCCCAGCGCCTGCTCCTCCGTCACCAGGGCGAAGGCCACCCCGTGGGTGCCCAGCAGAGGGATGAGGGTTAGAGTCGACTTGGCCAACCTGAGCATGGAGAACGAGAGACCTTAGCATCCAATTTGGTCTAGTGGTGAAGGCTCAATGCTAAAAACCAGGTGACAATGAGTTCTAGTTCTGTCTTAGGCATGAAAGCCGGTTGGGTGACTTTGGGCCAATCACCAGGAGACGGTGAGTTCTAGTTCCGCCTTAGGCATGAAAGCCGGTTGGGTGAGTTTGGGCCAATCACCAGGAGACGGTGAGTTCTAGTTCCGCCTTAGGCATGAAAGCCGGTTGGGTGAGTTTGGGCCAATCACCAGGAGACGGTGAGTTCTAGTTCAGCCTTAGGCATGAAAGCCGGTTGGGTGACTTTGGGCCAATCACCAGGAGACGGTGAGTTTTAGTTCCGTCTTAGGCATGAAAGCCAGTTGGGTGACTTTGGGCCAATCACCAGGAGAGGGGAATGAGAGACGGTGAGTTCTAGTTCCGCCTTAGGCATGAAAGCTAGTTGAGTAACTTTGAGTCAGTCCCTCTCTCTCTCAGCCCAACCCACCTCACAGGGGTGTTGTTGGAGACAGAATAGGAAGAAGAGGGTGTATTAGGTATGCTTGCCGCTTTGCTTTTAAAAATAATAAAAGCAGGGAATAAATACAAACATAAATAAAAAATTCTTCTGGCATTCCCACCCCATCATGGCTCCGTCTTATCCGGAAGTTAATTTCTTACCTATATTTATAATCCGTGTAATGCATTTGCTGGGCCCGAAGCTTGGAGTTCAGGACCTTAAGAACCCGGATGAAAATCACAAAGTTAACCTGGGAAACGGGATAAAAAAAAAATAATTCGGATATTCACAAATCCAAGTTTCGCTGCATTCATCCAGTAGAGCACTTCGACAGATGCACCCAGATATGTTAAAAGAGAGAACTATAAATGTTGCAGGGCATAGTAAAAAAAAATGCCAAAAATGCATTCTATGGACAACTATCACATTTGGACTTTTGCTTTTTCTAGATCAGTGTATCTTAACTTGGCAATTTTGAGATGTGTGGACTTCAACTCCCAGAATCCCCCAGCCAGCAACTTTAAAATTGTGGACTTCAACTCCCAGAATCCCCCAGCCAGCAACTGAAAGTTTCTTAAGACTGATAAATGCTGTTTTGCACTGTTTCTGACCGATGGCACAAAATATTTAGCCAAACAGCCAGGTAAGGCCGAGGGGTGACAGATCCCTGAGATTTCCTAGTAATAGTGACACCCCCTTCCATTTATACTTCAGGCCCCAAAAATCTGGATGCAGAAGGGAGTGGAATATATGGGGTTTTTTTTACTTGGGAGGGGCTTCAGTTCCGCATCTCCCTTTTTCCCCAAAGAAAAGCATACAGGGGATGAGTCATTAGAAGCAAGAATTTAAAAGGCTTATTTCAAACCTTGTAAAAAGCAAGAATGCAGAAAACAAAGCCATATACTAGCCAGCTCAAGTTTTCTTGGCAGGTTGTACCCGTGTCCTCGACTTACGACTAAAACGGAGCCCAGCATGTCTGTGGTTAAGCGAGACAGTTGTTAAGTGAGTTTTGCCCCATTTTAGACCTTTCCTGCCACCGTCGTTAAGTGAATCCCTGTTGTTATTAAGTTAGTAGCACCGTTGTTAAGCGAATCTGGCTTCCGCATTGACTTTGCTCGTCCGAAGGTCGCAAAAGGAGAATCACTGCAACCGTCATAAATAGGAGTCGTTTGCCAAGAATTTTGATCATGTAACTCCGGGGATGGAGCCGTGGTTGTAAGTCCCTTTTTTTTCAGTGCTGTCGTAACTATGAGAGGTCACTAAATGAACCGTTGTAAGTCAGGGACTACCTGTATTTAAAAATCTTACAGGTCAGGATGGAACTGATCTTGCAAAGAACGCAACAGCTTTTGTGTTCCTGTGAGACTTACCAAAATCGATACCAAGATTGGGCAACGGATGATCCACCAGTAACCCAAATTGTCATTTCTCTCCCAGCACCTAAAAATTATTATTATTATTAATAATAATAATAACAACAACAACAACAACAACAACCCCACAATTTAGAAGAAAGAAGGCTATTTTATCAGTGGCGGGTTTCAAAAATTTTTACTACCGGTTCTGTGGGCATGGCTTGGTGGGCATGGCGGGAAAGGATACTGCAAAATCCCCATTTCCTCCCAATCAGCTAGGACTCGGGAGGCAGAGAATAGATGGGGGCGGGGCCTGTCAGAGGTGGTATTTGCCGGTTCTCCAAACTACTCAAAATTTCCGCTACCAGTTCTCCAGAACTGGCCAGAACCTGCTGAAACCCACCTCTGCTATTTATGTTACGGGAATCATCTGCTTCTTTTTCAAATTTGGTATTTTTAGTAAATCTGGCAGGATTTAAAATGAAGGAACTTCCAGGCAGCAATAAGTCTACTGAGAAATCTTTAATTTGGCGATTCAAAAGGGGCATTTTGTTCCGTGAAAACCACACACGGCGGAGCTAAAAATAAAACTCAGCTCCTTCCTCTCTCTCCTTTAGAACAATTGGTTGTTCTGCGATGTGCATTTAAGCAGATTAAATAGTCATTAATTAACTCGCCGTGTAACAGGTCACTGACTCACTGTGTGAACCGGTGGATTTTTACCGTAATAAATCTGCTCGGTTGAACAGGATTGGTTCCCAAATTGAAAACACAAGCAGTGCTTGACTTAGTAACCTTTGTTTAGTGACTTAAGATTTGTGGACTACAACTCCCCAGATCTTAAAGTTGCCAAAGCTGGACACCCCTGGTTTAAAGTATGGCTGAAAAGTTCTCTGTAGCTTGTATGCTCTGAGTTACTTTTTTCCTGTCGATTCTGGATTAATGTATAACCCTAATCATGGATATTTATTTATATTAATCTATTTGTAGCTCGTATAATTGTTTTATAACATGCAACAGAAAGTCTATTCCAGCTAAACTTACTCGTTGTTTTCGTAGAGGTATCTCATGATCCCCCACGGGATGACGAAGAAGAGGGGTGCCCCTAGAGAGAGAAAAAAATGTTCACAGGTCAGAATGTTTTTTCTCATATTGTAATGAAATCCAGGTAGCTGCAGCTTGCACCTGTCATACAGGTAGAACTATTGACTGGATCAGTGGTGAAATCCAAATTTTTTTACTACCGGTTCTGTGGGTGTGGCTTGGTGGGCGTGGCAGGGGAAGGATACTGCAAAATCCCCATTCCCTCCCCACTCCTGGGGCCAGCCAGAGGTGGTATTTGCCGGTTTTCTGAACTACTCAAAATTTCCGCTACCGGTTCTCCAGAACCTGTCAGAACCTGCTGGATTTCACGCCTAGACTGGAACTTATCTGGGATAAGATAAGACTGATTATAACTCTCTTTCCATTAAAATATTTAAGACAGGGGTGTCTTGGCAACTTTAAAGCCTGTAAACTTCAACTTCCAAAATTCTTGGCCCAATTGAGGTCATAAATCAAGGACTATCCATAGAAGGTTCTTACTGGCTAGGACTGTTTAACATCATGACATATTTCCACGGTTCTTTAATTGCTAATTGTCCACCGCTTCTGGGTGGACCGGCAAATTAAGCCTCAGGGTATGAAGCCAAGTAAATAACACCAATTAAAAATTTCACTTCAGTCTCTTTCTGAAATGTAATACCAACGAACTGACTCACCCCATCCGAGGAATAGATAGGCAGGGAAGTAACTTTCTTCCAAGAAGGCCATGGGTCCTAGAAGGTTGTGCAGGTAGATGCCTTCTACCAGTAGCCAAAAGTAGTTTGCGCAGACACAATACTGGGTTAGGATTTGTGCCAGCCGACAGCCAGTTACAGCCTGGAGAAAGAAAGAAAGAGAAAGAAAGAAAGAAAGAAAGAAAGAAAGAAAGAAAGAAAGAAAGAAAGAAAGAAAGAAAGAAAAGAAAGAAAGGAGGAAGAGAAGGAGGAAAGGAAAGAGGGAAGGAAGGAAATGAAAGAAGGAAGGGAGGTCAGGAATGGAGGGTGGGGAGGGAGTATAGAAAGGAAAGGAAAGGAAAGGAAAGGAAAGGAAAAGGAAAAAGGGAAAGGAAAGGAAAGGAAAGGAAAGAAGAAGGGAGGAGGTCAAGAAGGGAGAAAGGGAGGAAGGAGAGAAAGGAAAGGAAAGGAAAGAAGGAAGGGAGGTCAGGGAGGGAGGGAGGAGGGAGGAGGAAGAAAGGAAGGAAGGAACGAGGAAGGAAGGAAGGAGAAAAAAGAAAGAAAAGGAAAGAAGGAAAAGGAAAGAAAGAAAGAGTAAAAGGAAAAAAAGAAAGAAGAAAGGAGGAAAGAAAGAAAAGAAAAAGAGAAAGAAAGAAAGAAAGAAAGAAAGAAAGAAAGAGAAAGAAAGAAAGAAAGAAAGAAAAAGAAAATTGAATGCCAATCCAGAACCCTCCAACTCCACTTCTCCTCCCACCTTCATCCTATCCTCTGTCCCATCCAGGATCCTCCATGGTAGGAAGAGATAGATACCTGTTCCCTGCTTGGAAGGTCCGAGAGATCCACCTGGAGGTCCCGGGGGAAGTGGAGCCAGAGGAGAGCATCTCGGAGAAGGATGGCGGCTGCCCGCAGCACGTAGGACAGGAACAGGTTCATGTGGAGGTAATTGCGCATGCATCGAAGCTTCCTGGGGGAACAGACACGGGGCTCATATATATTGCCATAATTTGTCCACATTCTCTCAATTCCTTTCTGTTTAATTGATGAGGAACATCTACTTGGGGCCACCAATTTCTTGTTCTCCTCGTCTACTGACTGCCATTTCAAGATTACAGGAATGGTCTTGTCGATTGGCATCACCAGATTCATTTAGCCCAGAGATCTTCAAACTTGACCGCTTTAAGACTGGTGGACTTCAACTCCCAGAATTCTCCAGCCAGCTGGCTGGAGAATTCTGGGAGTTGAAGTCCACCAGTCTTAAAGCGGTCAAGTTTGAAGACCTGTGATTTAGACCCTCCTGCTCCCCTCTCTCCATTTCTCCTCCGAAATAGCTAATACGGGTAGTCCTCGACATATGACCATTATGGAGCCCAAAATTGACGTTGCTAAACAAGACATTTACTAAGTGAGTTTGGCTCCATTGTATGAACTTTTTTGCCACAGCAGCTGTTTAAGTGAGGATCACTGGCTTTCCCAGTGACATGGCTTGTCAGAAGGCCACAAAAGGAGATCACGTCCCGTGACACTCCCCCCCTCCCCCAGGATGCTGCAACCGTCATAAGTATGAGTCAGTCGACAAGCTTCTGAATTTTGATCATGTAACTGTGGGGATGCTGCGACAGTCGCCGTAAGTGTGTGAAAAATGGCCCTCAGTCCCTTCTTTCAGTGCCGGGGTAACTTTGAATGGTCACTAAATGAATTGTTGTAAGTTGAGGACCACCTGTATTTCAGGGCTTGGAGCAGTGCATTTTGGATCCAGCTTTTCCATACCTGAATGCTGCCAGCAGCGTCAAAGCCACGAGGAGCGACACGAGCGAGACGGAATATCCCACGGTGTACATCCGGCGGAATTGTTCCAGGATCCACAAATGCCTCTGGAGGAAAAGAGAAATTCATGGGGGGCTTAAATCTTAAAAACAGCCCCCCACCTCCCCAGAAAAAGAATAGGAGCGTACATATCCTGCTTGGGTGAGGATCAAGAGAGGATTTTTGCAAAGCAATTTTTCCCTGCCGATGTGAGTTTGGTTTGGTAGTTAAGGTGCTGGCCTGGGAACCCGGTGATTGTGAGTTCTAGTCCCATCGTCAGCACGGAAGCTGACTGGCTGACTTTGGACCAATTGCCAGGAGGCTGGGAGTTCTAGTCCTGCCTTAGGCATGAAAACCAGCTGGTGACTTTGGGCCAATCACAAGGAGGCTGGGAGTTCTAGTCCTGCCTTAGGCATGAAAACCAGCTGGGTGACTTTGGGCCAATCACAAGGAGGCTGGGAGTTCTAGTCCTGCCTTAGGCATGAAAGCTGGCTGAGGGACTTTGGGCCAATCACAAGGAGGCTGGGAGTTCTAGTCCTGCCTTAGGCATGAAAACCATCTGGGTGACTTTGGACCAATCACAAGGAGGCTGGGAGTTCTAGTCCTGCCTTAGGCATGAAAACCAGCTGGGTGACTTTGGGCCAATCACAAGGAGGCTGGGAGTTCTAGTCCTGCCTTAGGCATGAAAGCTGGCTGAGGGACTTGGAGACAGTGAGTTCTAGTCTTGCCTTAGGCATGAAAACCAGCTGGGTGACTTTGGGCCAATCACAAGGAAGCTGGGAGTTCTAATTCTGCCTTAGTTATGAAAGCCAGCTCTTTCTCAGCCCAACTCACCTCACAGGGTTGTTGTTATTGCTGTTGTTGTGGGGAAACTAGGAGGAGAAAGGAGTAGCGGTATATAAGTCTAAGGGCTATTGCTATTCAGTATGTTTGCCACCTTGGGTTATTTATAAACAACAATAAAGGCAGGATAAAAGTCAAATAAATAAATAAATAAATAAATAAATATCCATGGCTGCAGTCTTAGTTAACATATATATTTTTACTGAATGTAAGGGTGTGCCAAAGGTGTTTTTTTTCAAGAGGCAACAGGCTGGCTGGGGAATTCTGGGAGTTGAAGTCCACAGGTCTTAAAAGTTGCCAAGCTTGGGCCATCCCTGGTCTAATAGATTTTACCTGGAAAGGGAGATCGTTGTTGGGGCCCACGCACTGGGAATGATCCCGCCACGGCAGTCCGGAGGCATCAACCACCCACTGCCCATCTGTGCCACATTTCTGGAAGACAAATCCATCTTGCACTGCCAGGGAGAGAAAGAGCAGAATCCGATGGTCTGGTTAACAGCTGACAAACTTCTCCTTCTGTATTTTACAGTTATATCAAACGTCACCTGCTTGCTGCCTAGTGGCCTGCCTTAGGGGTACCTTGCCCCAACCTGAAATCCAGACAGCCTGGAGTACAACTCCCATCATCCACTGCCAGCCCAGCCAAGGGGGCTCTTATCCAGGATCACAATTTGCAATGTTGGTTTGTTTTTTGCCAGTATTGGTTTATTTCTGACAGTCGCAGTGTGCTGTGGTTACGTGATAACCATTTGCAGACTTCCCGGCAGTCAATTAAGAGAGGAGATTCAGTTAATGACTGCAGAATTCACTTAGCAACCATGTGATTCACTTAAGGACTGTGGTAAAACTACAAAATCAGATCCAGTCCAATGATGACTCCTGTAACAATTGCATTGCTGAGCGATCAAAATTCTGGTCCTGATTTGCGGCCATAACTTGAGGACCGCCTGTGTTCTGGTATAGTCCAATTGAAGAAATCAATGCTATCTACCTATTTTTCCAAAGTATAGATTGAGTCTTTCTACCTGCCTCAAACTGCACTCACCTTGCTGGTGCCAAGGGAGGTACCAGGGGCAAGGAACCCGAGCCGATGTATTAGGGAGGGCATCGTCCCAACAGGCGTACATATCAAACGTACGGTTGCACACCAGGCCTGCAACCCAACAGAAGAAAGGAAGAGGGGAATGAGCAGGACAAGAAATCAACAACATCACACTGGCTCCCTAATCACCCTATGCCTCCATTCATCAATATTTCTTAAGGTCAGCGTTTCTCGATAACCTGGAGATGGGTAGACTTCAACTCCCAGAATTCCTCAATCAGCATGCTAATGAACTTGAAGATGGGTGGATTTCGAATCCCAGAATTCCTCAGTCAACATGCTAATGAACTTGAAGATGGGAGGACTTCAATTCCCAGAATTCCTCATCAACATGCTAATGAACTTGAAGATGGGAGGACTTCAATTCCCAGAATTCCTCAATCAACATGCTAATGAACTTGAAAATGGGTGGATTTCGACTCCCAGAATTCCTCAGTCAACATGCTAATGAACTTGAAGATGGGAGGATTTCAATTCCCAGAATTCCTCAGTCAATATGTTAATGAACTTGAAGATAGGTGGACTTCAAATCCCAGAATTCCTCAGCCAGCATGCTAATAAAGATGGCTGGCTGGAGAATTCTGGGAGTTGAAGTCCACCCATCTTAGTTGCTATGGCTGAGAAGAACTGCTTAAGGTGCCCATCGAGAGCTACCCATTAGTGACATAATGCGAGGTGCATTATTTCTTTCCTTAACCCTTTTCCAGACCGCTTGCCAACCTCTAAATCTTTTCAGGATTGCAGGCACTTTAAAAAATCACAACTTAAAACACTTCGACAAAGTGGGTAGAAATACCCACAGCGAGAAAAACAGAGCCAGCAACAATCAATTCATGTTTAAAAGTTCCATCGCGGCAGAAACATTATTACCTGATAGATACATAAAAATCACTGGTGAAAACAAATAGAGCTAGATCCCAGGATGAAGGATGTGACACAATTTTGTATTTGACAATAAAAAGGGTGCGTTGCATTTGTGCCAAGAAAAACAGTTTCTTAGGCATGTGGGTTTTTTTGCATAATGGATTCTGTTCTGCTTCTTATGGAAAAGAGCAAATATACAACAACCTTTGAGATTCGCCCACACGCCCAAAAAGTGCATTGCACCATCTTTTGGGCTTGTGAGACACTGCAAGTTTTTCCTCACACTTTTTAAAGATTACGCCTCCTGGTTAATACCAAGTCAATATTCCAAATTGTCTTTTGGAAAACCACTACATAATTCGGTGATTTGGCTGCACCTGTGCAGCGTACACCTAATTTGGGTTGTTTGTGAACCCTGCTGCCAATTAGCATCTTGCAAATATACCCCGGGGCTGAAATGCTTCCCTTTGTGTTATTTACATACAGATGATATCTTTGCCTCCTCTATCATTTCCTGAACAAGGCAAGCAGCTGCAAAAAGCAGAGTTCTCTTTTGCTTTGAGGATACATCAGACAATGTTTGCAATGTGCATTAAAAAAAAATCACTTTGCAACATAAGCTGTTGGTTTTAAGGAGCATTCTTTGAGCAGGAAGGCTGAAATTACTGCTGATGAAAATATATAGTGCAGTGTTTCTCGACCTTATGAATGTTAAGATGGGTGAACTTCAACTCCCAGAATTCCTCAGCCAGCATGCAACTTTAGGATATGTGGACTTCAACTCCCAGAGTTCCTTAGGCACCATGCAACTTTAAGATATGTGGACTTCAGCTCCCAGAATTCCCTGGCCAGCATGCAACTTTAGGATATGTGGACTTCAACTCCCAGAGTTCCTTAGGCAGCATGCAACTTTAAGATGGGTGGACTTCAACTCCCAGGATTCCATGCTGGCTCAAGAATTCTGAGAGTTGAAGTCCACACATCTTAAAATTGCCAAGGTTGAGATGTCCAGTGCTCTATTGGCAGAAGCCTTGAGGCAGACATGGATTCACAAGACTGGGGGAAAAAAAGCATCTACATGTTTCTGCACCTGTTGGTTGAGGGTCTTCGGTCATCTTTCGAATGCAGGCCTCTTGGTATCCTTGCCAGGCTTCCAACATCTCCTGGACCGAAGACCCCGTGGGGTGAGCCTGCGACATAGAAGAGAAGAGAGGGATAAGTTCCCCCCAACTTTGGAAGTTAGAAACAAAGCTGTAAACTTAGATAATTGAGTGTATTTAGAACAGAGGTATACAGATGTTTCATGAATGTGGGGTGAGATGGGGGTTGCATTTAATTTATTTCTATCAGGTACTCTGTCCTCCGCCTCCTCTTCCTCCTCCTCCCAGTTGGAAGGGGCCTTGAAGGTCTTCTAGTCCAACCCTCTGCTCAAGCAGGAGACCGTGTACCATTTCAGACAAATGGATGTCCAATCTCTTCTTAAAAACCTCCAGTGATGGAGTACTCACAACTTCTGGTGGCAAGTCATTCCACTGGCTAATTGTTCTAATGAATGAATGAATTCTAATGAAGAGGGGCACAGATCCTCTATTGCTCACCTCTATTGTCCAGTAGATCTGAATCAACAACAAGAACCGCTCCGGAGTTGTCTGCATACCGGGGGATGGGGGCTACAGATCAATAAGCCCCCATCTCAGGGCCTTCTTTTAATCCAAAGGTCCTTGTCTGCGATCATCAACTCTGAGACCTTGTCCAGTTAGCAACTATCTGAGAAAGGACAAAGAGATAGTCCAGAAATATCACATCTGCTGGCTGGGGAATTCTGGGAGTTGAAGTCCACACATCGTCCAGCGGTCAAGGTTGAGAAACACTGATCTAGTGTATCATACAGGTAGCCTTTGACTTACAACAGTCCATTTAGTGACCGCCCAAAGTTACGACAGCACTGAAAAAAAGTGATGTATGACCGTTTTTCATACTCACAACTATTGCAGCCTCCCCATGATCCGAATTCGGGTGCTTGGCAACGGGTTCCTATTTAATGACAGTTGCAGTGTGTCCCCGGGCTTACGTGTTCCACTTTTGCGACCAACAAAGTTGATGGGGAAGCCAAATTCACTTAGCCATCGGATTACTTACTGAACGAGCGCAGGGATTCACTTAGCAACGGTGGCAAGAAAAGTCGTACCATGGGGTGAAACTCACTCAGCCAATGTTTCACTTAGCAACGTAAATGTTGGGCTCAGTTGTGGCCGTAAGTCGAGGGCTGCCCGTATTTTAAAAGTAAATTTGAGAAAATTTCTCCCCCCTGGCTTTTCACTCTCCTAGGCTACCCTGTCTTGCAAAATAGGGAAGTCTTGTTGAATTTAACAAGAGAGAAATTCCAATTTCTGGAATTAAAAGATTCCACTGTCTCTGGAGTTTTTTGTTTTTCGTTTTCATTTGCAAGAGATGATGGTTAGCTTCATATAACATGGCTTGTTTAGCCACCTTCTTGGGTCACCATTTCTCCAACATTTTTAACCATAAATCCCATTTTATATCATCAAACCACTCCTGGGCTTTGTACAATATGCGGAGAAGGATCTATAACTCATCAACCAGACAATCGATATGGTGCCATCTGAAACACTTCCTTCGGTAAACTGAAAATGGGCTGATGTTTGTTTGTTTTTTTGTTTGACACTCGTTTCAGATTTGCTTCTAGCACCTTTTCCCAAGTTTTTCTCTTTTTTTTTTTCTCTACCTTGCTCGGCTCGATGAAAAGCAAATTGCCAATTGAACAGGGAAGAAAAAAATAAATAACGTATCTTGATAGCTGTTTGACAACTAGAGAGTCAACTGCACAAAAAACCTACGGTAGTTACGTATATATAGATTCATAACACTGCCAGATGAAGCAGCTACCGCTCAGCTTCCCGACAGTCGTTTCACACTATCCTGCAAACATCTCAGAATAAGAGAGTTGGAAGGGACCTTGGAGGTCTTCTAGTCCAACCCCCTGCTCAAACTGGAGACCCTACAGCATTCTGGACAAATGGCTGTCCAGTGTCTTCTTAAAAATCTACAGTGATGGAGCACCCACAACTTCTGGTGGCAAGCTGTCCCACCGATTAATTGTATTCAGTGTCAGGAAATTTCTCCTTAGTTCTAGGTTGCTTCTCTCCTCGATTCGTTTTCATCCATTGTTTCTTGTCTTGTCTTCAAGACAGGTGCTTTGGAGAATAGGTTGACCCCTTCCTCTCTGTGACAGCCCCTCAAATATTGGGAGACAGCTGTCGTGTCACCCCTAGTCCTTCTCTCTCTTAGATTAGACATACCCAGTTCCCGCAAGTGTTCTCACAGCCTGTTTCCCAAAAGCGATCTTGAATCAAGAGCTGGAAGGAGAACCAACCCCAGACCCAAACAGGAACAAAAAAAAAAAAATCAGAGAGTCCTACCTGCAGCCGGTCTCAGGAGCTGGAAAAGCAGAGAGACTTTTACCTGTCCAACAGGTAAGTCACCTAGAGCCTGCTGTTTGGAAGTGCCATCTCCCTTGCCTTATCAAGGCTTCGAGTGGGTGGCCTGAGCCGAGTGCGAAAGTAGTCAGAAGTGGGGGGAGGTTCTCACGTCATCCCCCTGGGGAGGGTGTCCGCAGGGGTGGAGGGCATCTCTCGAGAGGCTCACGCCCGCTTTGGATGTCATCCCGAAAAGGGCAGGGTCTCGCCTCAGGTAGCAAAGCAGGAGTAGGTGGGTGATGGAGGAGGAAATGTTTTAACATGGTTGTCGTGTTGAGAACAGGATGGAGAATGCAAAGAAACTGTGGAGGAAAACATTGGAGGTTTGTATTTGAGAAGATGCAAATTGTTCTATGAGATTAATCCGCATCATGTTTAACAATACTGAAGTGATATCGAAGTTTGTTTGGCTTGCAAAAGTAACTTATCTGGAAAAGGGAATTCTATGGAGCTTAGTTTATTTAAGATTTGCAGATATTCCTTCCTTCCTTCCTTCCTTCCTTCCTTCCTTCCTTCCTTCCTTCCTTCCTTCTTTCCTTTCTTCCTTCCTTCCTTTCTCTCATCCTCCCTTCTATCCTTCCTTCCAAATCTGATTGGGTCAGTTGTTTGTACAATGAAAAGATGCAGACAAAAAACCTGAGACTTATAGAACTAGGTCTCCTGTTTGAGTCATGGGGTCAGACTGGAAGACCTCCAAGGTCCCTTCCAATTCTGTTATTCTGCAGCCTGTATTCTGAAGGACAAAACTTAATAAAAATGTGTTATATATAAAAAATGTGTTATATATAAAAAAGAAAATTTGCAGGGGTGCCAGATGTTCAGGAAAAGAAGTAGCTGGTATCTTCTAGTGACTATCAGTAGCCAGATCTCTAAAAATCAGATACTGAAATTTTCAATCCAGAGAAAGAGCAATAATTAAAACAGGATATTTTCTGACAGATCCAAACAGCTGTTAAAGGCACCAGAATAAGGGAAATATAGATATAGATATATAAGATATAAAAGCCAACAAGATAAGCAGCTACTATTAATCCAAATAAATCAACAACCATTCATAAGTTTATATCTTTATGGCTTTTTTTAATCATTTTAATCAGAGTTTGCTTGTTTTCCCTTTATCCTTGCTGATATTTAACGTTAAACCTGCCAACGAACATTGGATTTTTCAGGAAATCGATTCCATCACCTGTATGCTCCATTGCTCCTCCAGCTCCTATTTCACCAAAGAGACACTGTCCAGATTCTCTATTAGTTTCCGAAGTGTCACCTTGCTCATATCTTTCCAAAATCTCCCGTTGCCATTATCAAAGAATTGGCTTTTGTTTGCTGAAGCTTTGATCCGAGGCAATATATTCCCTCTTCTTCTCTAAGCATTAATTAAGCTATCAAAGCCGGGAAGGGGACATTATTAACTAGCAACTGCGGTAGGGAACAGTGTCCGTGCTTATTTGGCGTAAACTGCACTTAATGTAGAATTATCACAGCATGTACCTTTCCCATTTGGTGGTAGCTTGGCCCTCAGTGTTTGAGGCCGTTTCCACAGCACCTGTCAAAGGATGATTGGATTCTTACTTCATTAAAGCTTACCTATGTTAGAGCATCGTGAATCCGCTGGAACGCTCTGTTCTGTTTGCTTTCTGTCTCTGGCTGCCCCGATAACAAAGTTAAGACTTTGAGATTGTGGAGATGTAATGCTGAGGTCAGTCGTTGTGGAAGATCCTGATGAGGAGTTTGTGATGACTGGGAGGTGGACAGCATATAAATTTAATAAATGAAGACATAGTAAATGCTCTCTGGGCTTGATGGTTTGCTTGCAAATCTTTTATTGTCATTGGTGTGAGACATCTAGCTGGGTCAGGAGATGTCTGCAAGAAAACCACCAAGCTCAGGAACACCAAGGACCCCGCAATCCTCCTCCTTCTCCTCCTCCTCTCCACATATCCCACTCCTTCTAGCACTGATGATGATACCTAGCTGGCTAATAAAATCACCAAGTCCAGAGAGCACCTAAGGACCCCCACAGTCCTCTCCCTCCTCTTTCTCCTCGTCTTTCTCCTTTTTACCCTTCTACTTCTCCTCCTCCTCCTTTCCCCACAACCCCACTCCCTTCTAGCACTGATGTCGTTACCTAATTTGGTAATGAAACGTCATCAAGCTCAGAGAGCAGCAGGGATCCCACTAGCCTCCACCTCCTCTTTCTCCTTCTCTTTCTCCTTCTTGTCCTATCTTTCTTCCTCCTTCTCCTCAACTCCACTCCCTTCTAGCACTGGTGGTGTTAGTGTTGTGGTCCACCAGCAGCCTGTGGAGCTGGCAGCGGAGTCGGACAGCGATGAGGCTGAGGAAGAACATGGGCCAGTCCTGGAGGCTGGGGAAGGCCCGGATGAGAGCTCTGCGTCAGAGGCAGAGATGGGGCCAGGACCATGGGAGAGTGAGGTGCAGACTCCGGAGCCTCCAGAGGCTGATAGGAGTGAGGCAGAGGAACAGGAGGAGCCTGTTCCTAATGCACGCATGAGAAGAGCTGCCAGAAGGCAAGAGCAGCTCAAGCAAAGAGGACAACTCAGGAGTAAGGCCAAGAGATGATTGGCCCCTCCCAGAAGGCTTAAAACAGACCAGCAGTGGTCTGGGTTGATTGGGTTCCTTCCAGTTGAGTAAAACCCAATTTGGGTTGCCCGAAACACGATTTGCAATCTGTTGACTGATCTGATTATTGCCACACTGGGGGCCCAGGTTTAACCTCCAATATATTCCTTGCCAACATTGTGTTCGCTGATTCCATTTGCACCGAAAATATCTTTAACCCGAAGCACCGACATGTCTTGGCTTTTAAATCATCGGAGCAAGCAAAGCAGTTCGTAGTAAAGCAAACAAATTTAGATAATGGACTAGATTGCTAGTGATGTGTATTAATGCACGTTGATGCAGGTTGAACTAAACTAAAGCATCTGTGCTTGGAATTTACAATTGGCACTTACCAGCGCCTCTGTTTGTGGAACATTGAAGCTTAGGAATTGCTGCTTTTAATGGTGATTTATGAGGTTGGGGGCCCCAGAGGCCCTTGAATCAACCTAATAGCTTTGGATATCTCTGGAGGATGGAGGCAAAGCCAGGGCGAAGCATCACAACTCTTCAAAAGGTTGGAAATCTTGCCATTATCTCATGACTCAATAAGAGATGAAGCCATCCCCCGCCCCAAAT